CATCTGGGCCCCTCCTGCCCCACTCCCCACTCCTCCCATGCACCTGGCGCGCTTCGCTTGTGCCTGGGTTACAGGCTTTCTCCTGGGCACTCCCAACACCTAGGCTGGGTAACTCTTTGTTCTGGGGGCCGTCCTGGGCACTGTGGGATGTTCAGAAGCCTCCCTGGCCTCTATCCACCGGGTGCCAGTAGCAACCCCCTCCCCATAAGCTGTGACAATCACTGTGCAGCCACCCCGCTGAGAACCACGGCTCTAAAGAGTTGCTTTCATGTTGCTGGAACCCACAGCTAAGCACCTCTGTCGCCTTCCCCATGATTCCCCTCCAAGTCTTCCTCAAGTGCCTAGCACAGCGCTGGATATTTTGACCCTGGTTTCTTCCTGGAATAACAGGTAAGGGGCAGCAGTACTGTATAGCAGAGGGTCTAGGGCATTTTTTTTTTTTTTTTTAAACAGTCTCTCTCTGTCGCCCAGGCTGGAGTGCAATGGTGCAATCTCAGTTCACTGCAACCTCTGCCTCCGGGTTCAAGTGATACCCCTGCTTCAGCCTCCCAAGTAGCTGGGATTATGGGCACATGCTACCACGCCCAGCTAATTTTTTGTATCTTTAGTAGAGACGGGGTTTTAACATGTTGGCCAGGCTGGTCTCAAACTCCTGACCTTGTGATCCACCCGCCTCGGCCTCCCAAAGTGTTAGGATTACAGGCGTGAGCCACCACACCCAGCCTAGGGCAGTTTTTGAGACAGGGTCTTGCTTTGTCGCTCAGGCTGGAGTGTAGGGGCGCCACCACAGCTCATCCCTGGAGCCTTGATTGAACTCCTGGGTGCAGGTGATCCTCCTGCCTCAGCTTCCAGAGGAGCTCAGGTTACAGGCGTGAAGCACCACACCCGGTTGAGTTTCTGACCTAAAAGGTGGGATACCTGAGCTCAGGACTGATCCTGGCAGTCTAGCTCAGTCTTTCCATGCCTCAGTTTCCCTTTTCTCAGAGCTGGAGGCTGCTGGCTCCCTCTCTGGCTTCTCCCTTCTCCTCCCTTCTCTGTCTTTGATAGTTGCCAAGCACTGCCAAGGACCTTGCACCCCTTTTCCGGGTGGGGCATAACCGTTGGTGCTGAAGGGGAAAGGCTGGCCCCTGGCAGGAGATGAAGGGTGCAGAGTCGGGGGGTAGGCAGGAGGGGCAAAGTTCTCCGGGAGTACTTTCTTCCTCCAGCCACTCCCTCTGGGGCTGACACCAGCTGTGCGTCCCCAGGTAGCTCTGGAGTCAAAGGAGAGACTCTGGAAGGGCCTGAGGGCACATGGATGGTGTGGCAGGGATTGGGGTGCACCTTTGGGAGATGCAGTCAGGTCCGTCTCCCAGGGCCACACCCGATGTGGAGTCGGAGTCCCGGCTCCCCTCTCCCGCCTGTGAGATTCAGGGTGGGGTGCTCCACCTTGCCAAAGCCTTTCAGCTTCTGTAACGGTTCCCCCCACCTCCCCATGGTGGAAATAACGTAGACAGAACCACCCACCCCAAGGCCTGGAACCCCACCACCCTGCGCCCCATGCCCTGGGGACTCTGGCACCGTCTTTCATGCGGGTCCCAAGGGGGGCCCTCTCGGGTACGCCGGCCACAGCAGAGCCCCCTCCCCAGAGCAAGGGGTGTCTGAGGGGTGGATGTCGGGGCTACCTCCAACGTCCCTTCTGGCCACTCAGCACTCTAGGCTTCTGGCCCAGATTTGTACTCGGCTTTTAGAGGGTTTTTCTTGGGGGGGAGGAGGCGCCTGCCCTGCACAGTCAGTCCTGGAGAGGAGGAAAACACAAAGCCTGTGCTGGTGCTTCCCAGGAGGGGCTGGGTGTAGCGGGGGCACAGGAGACCCACTCAGACCCCCTGACTGCTCAGAGCAGCCCCGACATCCCTGGGGGCGGTTTCTCTAAGCCCCGCTTCACGTGCAACGTTGCCCTCCCCGCCACGCGGTGCCTGGAGAGTGGGCTGGCCCCGAAGGACCCAGGAGGGCGTGGAGCGGCACCTCGCGCAGTTCACAGACGCCAGGGCTGTCTCTGGCATAGTACCAGACTGAGGGGAGACTGCCCTGGGGAACAGTGGGGTGTCCTCATCCTAGAGGGTGAGCAGGGAGCGGGAGGTGCTGCAGCCGCAGAAAGAACTGCCCTGGCCCCAAAGAGCTGTTGGCTCCAAGTCCTCTGAGACCTCAGAAAGACCCTGTCCTTGAAGCCCCACACACCTGCACACATACCACCCCTCACAGCAGACGCCTCCCTTCACCAGGGCCCTTTAGATGTCAGCCGGACGAGGCCACAGTCCCCGACAGCGAGGCTGGGGAGGCTGTGGAGCCTGGAAGTTCATCAACCTCCCAGAGTCCAAGATGCTCCCCGACACCTGCCCACCCCAGCAATCCCACCCCCAAAACATGCTCGACTGTATGAGAGCCTGTGTTAACCTCACGTTAACACTGGCACTTTCTCGGGCACCTGTGAACTGGGACGCTCACCCTAAGCTCACAGGTGGCTGAGATGAAGCTCATGTCATCACTGGCCCACGGCACAGAGCTGGGAAAGCAGTCTGATTCTGGTGCCCGCACCTGTAACAGCTAAAAGCGCCACACTAGCATAGGGGGCCACGTGTGACAAGGTCTTCACTCCAGTTCCAGGCAGGGGCTGCCCCCAGCACTCCTGGCTGCAGGAACCCAGACCCCCAGAGCTGAATCCAGGGCTCCCTGCATCCTTACAGCAGCACCCACCCTCCCCCGGGGTCTCTACTGCCCTCTCCCCCCGGAGTGCTCCCCACCCCATACCAGAGAGGGCCAGCAAGGACGGGAACTCCCAGCAGTTGTAGACGCCCAGGGAATCCGTGGCACAGCTAAACCAGAGGTTCTCGAAGATGGTGTTGGTGGTGATGACGCTCCCGTGCACGGTGGACACTCGCCAGTAGCTGTTTGGCAGCGTCACCCCCAGCATCAGCAGCCCCACAGCGGCCATGAAGAAGCCAAAGGTTTCCACAGCCATCGACATGGTGGGATGCAGGGCCCCGGGGGGCTGGTGCCCCAGAGAGGGGGAGGGGCGGAACCCCTAGGGAACTGGCAGAGGCTGCGGCTAAGAGGTGTCCGGGCAGGCTGGGGGGGAACTGGCCTCGGCCTCGGCCTCCCTCTTCCTCCGGCTCAGGTCTGTCCTGACTTTCTGCCTCCAGGTTTCTGCCTTCCTCCTGCTCTCTGGGTCTCTCCGCTTCCTGGCAGGTCAGAGGAATGAGCTAAGCCTGCGCGAGGCAGCTGTTGACTAGATGGAGGGAATAACCGAAACGGGCCAAAAGTCCACTCCCTCCCCCCAGCCTCTGGGCTGCCCCGGGCTCCCCGCCCCATGAGGGTGGGGGGGCAGACTTACCCCGGAGCCACAGACGGATACGGCCAAGGAGGGGCCCCCCCAAGGGAGGCATTGGGAACTGAGGGGAAGTGTCTGTCTCTGACTCAGCTTTCATTGGGGGCCAGAGAACGAAGTAAGAGGGACAAGGAGCGAAAAGATGACAGAGACAGACGTGAGAGCAACAAGGGACAGATAGAATGAAGAGCAGCCTTCAGTGGAGAAGGATGGAGGGACCGGAGAACAATCTGACCCTCGAAGACCTAGGCGTTGGGGCATTCGCGTCTCTAAGACGAATATGGATGAGGGGGCAGGAGGCTGGGAGTCACACAGCCCCGGGCTCCATCCAGCCTGGGCTGGAACTTAGCCCCCGATTCATTCACCAAGGCTACTCAGCCAGGGTTGCCTCTGCTCCGTCAGTGACAGCCCCGACTGCTCACCGCATGGGCAGTGGGGAGAAGTGGGGTGAAGTGGGGCCAGGGGCCGGGTGCAGTGGCTCTCGTCTGTACTCCCAGCACCTTGGGAGGCTGAGCTGAGAGGACTTCGTGAACTCAGGAGTTCAAGACCAGCCAGGGAAACACACTAAGACTTCACTGGGACCAGGGATTCAAGCTCCCCGCCCCCACAGTGCTGCCTGCTCGGCACTGGGGACTGTCCTGGGTGTGAGCGCCGCAGGGCTGAGTGAGGCCACCAGGGAGCTGCTCTCGCCCAAAACTCCAATTTCCTCCTAAGTTGATCTTTGACTCAGCATCGAGCCTGGTCCTGTGGCTGAGCTCTGCAACCTGTTCTCAGTTATCAGCAACTGTCACCGGCTCGATCCGCAAATGATGATGGATTAGCAGCCTCTGGGTCCCCATCTTTGGAGCCAGTGCAGAGCACGTCGCAGGGCAAACACTCTCACCTCCTGCTCCGGTTCCCTTGGGCTCAGTCCCTGGGGGCCATCAGCGCTGCCTGTGCACCTACCTGGCCCCGCCAGGCTCCTCCAGCCTCTCCCAGGCTCCTCTAAGGTGTCTCCTCCCTACCCCTGGCCTGGCCTGTGGAACGAGAGGTATGTATGCCGTGAAGCAAAACAGACCCATGCAGAGCCTGGTACCAGGTGGAGAGGCTGGCCAGGCAGGGCTGGGTCCTGACCTTCCAGCCCGAAGGCGAGAGCTGGGGCGCCCTGGGCTCTGACCTCTCCTGGGCCGGCTGCCTACTACGTGCCAGAGGCAAGTTTCCTTCCCCCACAGGCCCCCCTCCCTGGAGGAGGAGGTGGCAGGAGGAAGGGGAGGCCACAGGAAGACAAAGGGAGGGAAGGGCGAGGTAGAGGAGGAAGCCCAAGGGGACCCGCTGTGGAAAACCCCAGAGGCAGCTGAGTGGGTCAGAGGAGAAGGCCAGCCTGAAGCCTGGCCCAACCCCACAGTTCTGCCTGCTGCTGCTCACATCACCGCCTTCTCCCAGGACTCTGGGACCACGGAAAAGCCCCACGTCCTCGAGCTGCCCGGCACTCTCAAGGACATGGCTTCAGGCAAGGGAGGAAGGCTGTGGGCTCTGGGCTGCTCAGCGGACAAAGCCTGTGCCAACCTGGAGGGCAGGGACAGGAAAGGACCACGAGTGGCGCCTGTCCCCTGCGTCCAGCGTTCGGAACCCACCCCTCCTCTCAGTGCAGACACAGAGGTTCCCAAGCCACAGCCCCGTTTTATTTACACTCATCCCAAAGCGCGTGATTTGGGGCTGAAGGACGAGGGGTCTTAGGGGAGCAGCGGTTAGTTCAGGGCCACAGAGGACAGACAGGGGTGCAGGGGGAGGACAGGGAAGGGACAGCAAGGACAGACGGGCCCTCCTGGAGCGAGCGTCCTCCGCGGGCTCCCACGCGTCCTTCAGGATTTGGACTTGGACACAGCTAGTCCAATGAGTCCAGCCAGGCCCGCCACGCCCAGGGCCATGCCGCCCACGATGGCCATGCCCACCAGTCCATCTGGGGAAGGAAAGGGACGCCGTCAGGAGCCCCGCCTGTGCAGGGATCCTGACCGTCCCCTTCCGCCAGCCCTGCTCCTCAACAGATGTGCACCCCTACCTGGAGTCACAGGGCAAGGGACTCTCAGAACGGGAAGGGGTGGGGCTGAGGAGGGGCTGCCTTGGGGAGGTTCATCTACAGAGAAACCACAGCGCCCACGAGCGGGGAGGAGAGGGCCGAATGAAGGAGCCCAGGCCGTCACCTTTCTTCATGGCCTTGTCAATGAGCCGCTCCAGTTCCTTGGCCTGGTTGTTCTCGGGCTCTGTCTGCAGCAGCCCTCGGACGTACTTTAAAGCCTTCTCATACTCCTACACTCGGGGAAACACGCTCATTAGACACACCCTCGAGTTTTTGTTTTTTGTTTTTTTTTTTAAATAAGAGATGGGGTCTCACTCTGTTGGCCAAGCTGGAGTGCAGCATCGCAATCACAGCTCAGTGCAGCCTCAAACTCCCGGGCTCAGGCAATCCTCCTGCCTCAGCCTCCCAAGTAGCCGGGATTACAGGTGTGAGCCCCTGAGGCCAGCTACAGCGCAGTGTCCCACAACTCCTGCCCACCTGAAGGACCTTCCCTTCTTCAGCCCTGGGGGCTCCTCCCTCGACCTCCACCCCTCCCCTCCCTCCAGCCCCACCCCACGGAGTAGAGTCCACAAACTAAACCACCCCAACTCTGCGGGAGATAACACTGCAACGCTTGGGCCTGCACCCAACCTCTTGACGTCACCTTCCTCCCCACACCCTCAGCACTCTGATCTTCCCTCGGAGTCCTGGTCTGACACCGCTCCGCACCTCTGCACCCCTTCAGCCTCCCCGGCCCTGGAGGACAGCAGTAAGGAGGTACTGCAGCCGGCCGAGGAGGGTGAAGGGAAGGAAGGCCCGCCTCACCTTGAGCCGGTAGTTCCCCACAGCCAGGTAGAAGACGTAATCCCGCTGTTCTTCTTTGCTTCCTTTGGGCAGCAGCTCTGGGGGAGGGACAGGGAAGAGGGTGAGAACTGCTTCTTCCATTTCCTAATACTGTGTCCCAGAGGCCCCTCCGCTCTCTGAATGCCTCTGCGATCTTGGGAGGGTCACTGTCCTGAGCCTCCCTTTCAGCTCCGGTCACTCCCAGCACCTCTAGCCGGAGCTGTGGGGCAGCGTGAACCCCAGCTGCCCCAACACCCCAGTGACAGACATCCCTTTATCAGTATCACAGCCGACCGGTCCATCCAGCTGAACTGAGAAAATTGGGGCCTTGGAGAAGCCAAAGGCAGTGCGACTCAAGTTTTGGCATCTGCGGGGCTCTTCTTTTTTTTTTTTTTTTTTTTTTTGTGAGAAGGAGTTTCGCTCTTGTTGCCCAGGCTGGAGTGGAGTGCAGTGGTGTGATCTCGGCTCACTGCAACCTCTGCCTCCCAGATTCAAGCAATTTTCCTGCCTGAGCCTCCCGAGTAGCTGGAATTACAGGCACCCACCACCACACTCAGCTAATTTCTGTATTTTCAACAGAGATGGGGTTTCAGCATCTTGGCCAGGCTGGTCTCAAATTCCTGACCTCAGGTGATCTGCCTGCTTCGCCCTCCTAAAGTGCTGCTGCTGTGGTTTTAACTACAATGCCTGCTCTCCAATTATCGTTTAAAAAAATGTTAGGACCCCCCGCCCCGCTTAAAAAAATCAGCTCAAAACTCACCTTCAATTAGCCTTCCCTGAAAACCCCACCTGACTTTTCCTTCCTTTCTCCTCTCGCTCCTTTCCCTCTTTCCTTTTGAGACAGGGTCTTGCCCTGTCACTCAGGCTGGAGCACAGTAGCACATCCATGCCTCACTGCAGCCTCAACTCCTGGGCTCAGTGGTCCTCTGGCGGCTGCCTCCTGAGTAGCTGGGACTATAAGCACACACCACCACACCTGGCTAATTAAAAACTTTTTGTTACAGAGACAGGCCGGGTGGGGTGGCTCATGCCTGTAATCCCAGTACTTTGGGAGCCCAAGGCAGGTGGATCACTTGAGCGCAGGAGTTTGAGACCAGACTGGGTAACAGTGAGGCCTTGTCTTTATTTGTAACAAAAAAATTGTTAATGAAATGAAAAATAATCAAACATTAGCTGGACATGGTGGCAGGCACGTATAGTCTCAGTTACTTGGGAGGCTGAGGCAGGAGAATCGCTTGAACCGGGAGGCGGAGGTTGCACTAAGCCAAGATCGCGCCACTGCATTCCAGCCTGGCTGCAGAGCAAGACTCCATCTCAAAAAAAAAAAAAAAATCACACTAGATTTCCTTATGTTGCCCAGGCTGGTCTCAAATTCCTGGCCTCAAGCCATCCTCTGGCCTTAGCCTCCCAAAGTGCTGAGAGATTACAGGCATGAGCCACAGAGCCTGGCCTCACTTGACTTTCTTTTTTTCTTTTTTTTTTTTTAGACAGAGTCTTGCTCTGTTGCCCAGAGCAGAGTGCAGTGACATGATCACTGCAACCTCCCCCTCCTGGGTTCAAGCGATTCTCTTGCCTCAGCCTCCTGAGTAGCTGGGATTACAGGCGCAAGCCACCACACCCAGCTAATTTTTGTATTTTTAGTAGAGCCAGGGTTTTACCATGTTGGCCAGACTGGTCTCAAACCCCTGACCTCAAGATCCGCCCACCTCGGCCTCCCAAACTGCTGGGATTACAGGCGTGAGCCACCTGGCCCCCCACCTGACCTTCTTAATTCAGAGACTTCCCAGAGGATAACTGTACCTATGCACTAGAATTTGTTGCCAAATAGTTTTGCACGTGTTTATAAATCTTCCTAAGTGTCTCTACTGTCTCCTCAACTAGAGTGGCAACGCTTGGAGGGGCCGTTTCTTCTACGGCTACACCCTGCTGCAGAATAAACCTGAAAATCTGAATTGAGAAAGTAGACACACACACGGTGAAATTATGTGTATCTTTTAAGAGTCTTATCTTTACAGATTTCGAATAGGCATCCTTTGCTAGCACATTAGCGTTCTGTATTCATGGATTCAATGAACCATGGATCAAAAATACTCAGAAAAAAAGACAGTTGCATCTGTACTGAACACGAACAGACCTTTTTTTCTTGCTATTATTCCCTAAACAATACAGTATACTATTTACACAGCATGTACCTGTATTTGGTATTATAAGTAATCTACAGATGATTTAAAGTATATGGGAGAAGATGTATAAGTTACATGTTAACACCACAAACTTGGGTGGCTGTTGGTATCTGTGGGGGTGGAGTTCCTAGAACCCATCCCCTACAGATACAGAGGGATGGGTGTATACTGTGTGCTTATAAATTATTACTTGAATAAAAGAAAGGGGCTACAGATAAATTAAGTGGTTAAGTATTGTGGCCGCTGTAAATGTTGACCTACCCAAAACCAATGGGAAATAGGGTTCCAATCCAAAAAGCACAATCTGGCCACATGCAGTGGCTCAGGCGTGTAATCCCAGCACTTTGGGAGACTGGGGTGGGTGGATCACCTGACGTCAGGAGTCTGAGACCAGCCTGGCCAACATGGTGAAACTCTTGTCTACTAAAAATACAAAAATCAGCCGGGTGTGGTGGTGGGCCTGCTTGAACGGGGAGGCAGAGGTTGCAGTGAGCTGGGATAGCACCACCGCACTCCAGCCCAGGAGACAAAGCAAGACTCTGTCTCAAACAAAAGCAAAAAACAAAAAGCACCGTCTGCTCACAAATTTGTAGGACAGTACTCTGTACCTCTTCCATGCCGCAAAGATTCTCAATAGCTGTGAACTAAGCAACAAGGTGGTGGTGCTGGGGGGACGGGCATGGGCCTGGTGTCTCAAAACTGGAGCTTCTAGTACCAATGCAGCCATTAATTGATTAGCTGCATGATCTCAAGGCGCTTTCCCAGATCAACATAGCCTTGGGGGAACTGGCAGGCTATGGCTCCGGTCTGGCAAAACAATGGTGGGTGGTAAGTAGCCAAAAGTTTAGCGGGAGAAGTCAGGCTAAGTGTAGCCCTTGCTGCAGTAAATCCACCGGAGACAACTGCGAGGTTCCTGGACTACAGGGGCCCACGTCGTACAGCAGCCCCGATGGCAGCGGGAAGGGGAGAGTTAGGTCGCCCAGTGCCTCACCCTCGAGCAGCGCGATGCCTTTAAGGATGTCATCATTGTACTTGCTCCGCACCAGGCACCAGGCGTACTCAAACTGCGTGCTTTTGGACACCGAGCCAGCTGCCTTTTCAGACTGAAATTTCCTTTCAAACTTCTGCCACAGGGGAGGAAAGGAATCATTTAGAAATGAAGGGCGTCAACCATTCTCTATCTGGACATGGTGTCGGTCACACCCCATCTCCCTGGCCCTGCCCCCTTTCCCTCGCCGGTCTCGGTATCTGGCACCCCAGCTTCTGCTATCTCCGGGCCCTGGACCCAGGCTTTCGGCTCCTCCAGGCCTGCGGGCCCGCTCTTGGACACAGGCCCCTGGTCTCCCCTCCCCCCCGTCGGTACCGAGCGGAGATGCCACCTGGTGGCAGCTCCAGGCGCCGCTCCCGGAGCAGCTGACCCGACGGTCGAACAGTAAACACCCTGTCAGAACTGCTCAACAACAGCCCACGCGGTCCTCTTCTGAGGCTGCTGGCCCCATCTTGCCCCACTCTGCCGGGCCTGGACCTTTTAATGTCCAGGAATAGAAGTAGTGCCCACCTCTTAGAGCTACAAAGAAAGACTGAGATCTGGAATGCAATGTCTTAGCACCGTGCGGGACGCAATTATACGTGACACCTTATGATGGTCATTGTATTCTACCACCGTTGGAGGAGCGCCCTGACTTCACAGCAGGATCCCACAGCCCGGCAGTCTAACACTTGGAGCTCCAGGCCCGCAGTCTGTGGTGTGGGGGGGGGGGGGGGGCTCAGGACACTACAACCCCCAGGAGCCTCTGCGGCACAGCGGGCCGTTCGGGCAGGAGACAGGCGCTGCGGAGGCTGCCGGGAGTCGTAGTTCGGCTTCCCTCAGCCAAGCTGATGCCGGGAGGAGGGTTCGGCCAGCTACCTGACTCTCCTCGGGACCCGCCCTCCGACCTTCCCTTTCCCTCGTCCGGGCCAGGCCTCACCAGCAGGTCCTCCACAGACACCAGCTCGTTCAGTACGGCCTCCATGGCCACTGCCCCCGCAAGCCTCACACCACAATCTACTGTGCCAGAGTCTCCATGGTCCAGTGGCAGGGGCGGAGAGCCACTTCCGGCGTGCGGCGGAAGCGGGCCGAACTTGGCGACGCCCCGCCCCTTCCTCCGGCTCAGCTGCGCGGGCGGGGCGCTAGTGCGCAGGCTCAGCCGGTGCCTCCAGCCCGCAGAATGCGCTCAGGGAGACCTTCCCCAATTGGTGTTTCCCGGTACCCCAGCCGGTGCCTTCCCCCGTGGAGGCTATGTCTTAGCGGTTAGCCCCCAGGATGAAAACGGCAAACAGAGGAGGGTGGAAAGCCGGCCGGAGATCACATCACATTAGGTGCCAAGCTGACACCCCGCAGAAATATAGGCCCTTGGAGGCCACGTGACTTTTCACCGCCTGGCGCGTGGCTCTCGCCTGTAACCTCAACACCTTGGGAGGCAGCGGCGGGAAGATCGCTAGAGGCCAGGAGTTCAAGACCAGCCTGGGCAACATGGAGACCCCATCTCTACAATTTTTTTAAAAAAATTAACCGGCGTGGTGGGCTGCACCTGTACTCCCAGGTACTGGGGTGGCGGAGGCAGGTGGATCGCTTGAGCCCAGGAGTTCAAGGCTGCAGTGAGTTATCACGCCACTGCACTCACTCCAGCTTGGGCGAAAGAGACCTTGTCGGAGGAGAAAGGTTCGGACACCTCTGGCTTGTTTCTGTGCAGAGAGGGGACTGGGTAGGTAGAAACTTTCAAATCCTTTTTTTTTTTTTTTTTTTTTTGAGATGTAGTCTCACTCTGCTACCCAGGCTGGAGTGCAGTGGCACGATCTTGGCTCATAGCAACCTCCACCTTCTGGGTTCAAGCAGTTCTTTTGCCTTGGGCTCTGGAGTAGCTGGGATTACAGGCGCCTGTCACCACGGCTGGCTATTTTTTGTATTTTTAGTAGAGATGGGGTTTCGCCATGTTAGCTAGGATGGTCTCAAACTTGACCTCAGATGATCCGCCTTCCTCGACCTCCCAAAATGCTGAGATTACAGGCGTGAGCCGCTGTGCCCGGCCAAGCCTCTATTATTTTTCTTCTCATGATAGTGTCGTGAGTTAGAAAGGTAAGAGTTATTCTTCCCTATTTGGCCTGGATGGTTGAAATGACTGATACAGTGAGCTCTGTAAGCCTTGCGAGGATCCCCAGGTTGGGGAACTGGCTCCTTGATGCCCATTAGCATAAACCTGAAGGAGAAAACCTCACGTCCATTCAGAGATGTATAGAGCACCTAATTTTGGCTGGGCCTTGAGGTGGGCACAGAGGAAAAAAAGATGGACACTAGGGCCGGGTGCGGTGGCTCACACCTGTAATCTCAGCACTTTGGGAGGCCGAGGCAGGTGGATCACCTGAAGGCAGGAGTTCAAGACTAGCCTGGCCAACATGATGAAACCCCATCTCTACTAAAAATACAAAAAATAAGCTGGGCATGGTGGCGGGTGCCTGTGATCCCAGCTACTCAGGAGGCTGAGGCAGAAAAATGGCTTGAACCTGGGAGGCGGAGGTTACAGTGAGCCAAGATCATGCCACTGCACTCCAGCCGAGAGACAAAGAGAAACTTCATCTCAAAAAAAAAAAAAAAAAAAAAGATGCAATTCTCAATTTACATCAAACCCTTTCATGCCTTCTTACTGCCCTGAGAACAAACAAGCCTTCGAGGTCTGTTAGGGTCTAGTCATGGTTAATTCTCTTCCTCATCTTTCACTATCTCTCTGGGTATGTACACCAGTCCTACAGAACTTCCGTCAGCTCTCAAACCTCCAGTGGCCACAGCTCTGCTGCACAGACAGTCCTCTCTGTTTGGAACATCTGTCCCTTCCGCCATTGCTTATCTGGCTCATTCATCCACTCATAATTTAATTCATTCAAGAAATACTAATTGAGCTCCTAGTATGTGCCAGGCTACTATTTGTAGGCAACTAACTGGATACCTACTATGGCCCAGCACATAGTAGGTACCCAATTAGTTGCCTACAAATAGTAGCCTGGCACAATGTAAGCTGTTATGGAGTTTACATTTTCATGGAGAAAATGGAAAAAACTAAACAAATAAAAGCACTGTGACATAATAAGAAATATATACTTAGGCCGGGCGCAGTGGCTCAAGCCTGTAATTTGGGAGGCCGAGGCGGGTGGATCACGAGGTCGAGAGATCGAGACCATCCTGGTCAACATGGTGAAACCCCGTCTCTACTAAAAATACAAAAAATTAGCTGGGCATGGTGGCACGTGCCTGTAATCCCAGCTACTCAGGAGGCTGAGGCAGGAGAATTGCCTGAACCCAGGAGGCGGAGGTTGCGGTGAGCCGAGATAGCGCCATTGCACTCCAGCCTGGGTAACAAGAGTGAAACTCCGTCTCAAAAAAAAAAAAAAAAAAAAAAAAAAAGAAATATATACTTGATCTCTGTCCTGATTCCCAATACAAAGGTCCTAAAATCCTTGTAATTTCCTGAGTGATGGCAGTAATAAGAGCATTTTTTTTTTTTTTTTTTTTTTTTTTGAGACAGAGGCTCACTCTGACCCCAGGTTTGAACGCAGTGGCATGATCTTGGCTCACTGAGCCTCAACCTCTCAGGGTTAGGTGATTCTCCCACTTTGGCCTCCAAAGTAGCTGGGACCACAGGCACGTACCACCACACCTGGCTAATTTTTTTTTTTTTTTTTTTTTCCTGAGATGGAGTTTCACTCTTGTTGCCCAGGCTGGAGTGCAATGGCAAGATCTCAGCTCACTCTAACCTCCGCTTCCTGAGTTCAAGTGATTCTCCTGCCTCAGCCCCCCGAGTAGCTGGGATTACAGGCATGCGCAACCGTGCCGGGGTAATTTTGTACTTTTAGTAGACAGGGTTTCTCCATGTTAGGTGGTCTGGAACTCCTGACCTCAGATGATCCATGTGTTTCAGCCTCTCAAAGTGCTGTGATTACAGGCCTGAGCCACTGCGCCGGGCCAACTTTTGTATTTTTTTTTTTTTTTGTAGAGATGGGGTTTTGCCATATTGCCCAGGCTGGTCTAGAACTCCTGAGCTCATGTGATCTGCCTGCCTCGGCCTCCCAGAGTGCTGGGATTTCAGGCATGAGCCACTGCGTTCAGCCAATAAGAGCATCTTTCACAGAACTCCGAAATCCCTTGTAACTTCCTGAGTGACAGGAGCACCTTTTGTTCTAATGAGGTGACTCTCAGTGGACTCCTGGACAGCATCAGGATCAGGGCTGGTCACCAAAAAGACCAAGCCAGGATTTGAAGTGTAGACTCTAAGCTTGAACTTTTAGCCTGCTCCCTCATTCTTTGGGTAAGAGAAAGGAAGGATCTGGAGATTGAATTAATAACTGATCATGTCTATGTGATCAAGATTCCATAAAAATCCTTTAACTCAGTAGCTCACACCTATAATCCCAGCACTTTGGGAGGCTGAAGTGGGTGGATCAGTTGAGGTCAGGAGTTCAAGACCAGCCTAGCCAACAAGGTGAAACCCCGTCTCTACTAAAATACAAAAATTAGCCAGTTGAGGTGGAACATGCCTGTGTAGTCCCAGCTACTCAGAAGGCTGAGGCAGGAGAATCACTTGAACCCGGGAGGCAGAGGCTGGAATGAGCCGAGATCGCATCACTGCACACTCCAGCCTGGTTGACAGAGTGAGACTCTGCCTCAAAAAAAATTACTCCTCTGGGAAAATACTCAATGAAAGGGGTAAAAAAATGAAAGAAAAGGAAGACATTAAGATATTCATTCATTCCTGCATTATCTGTGAAGGTAAACAAACAAAAATGCCACGGAATGGTTTTATTAAATGGTAATACACTAATATAATGAAATAATATACACCCTTAAAGTCACAGTAATATGGATTCTTTGCCTGTGGATGGTAACATTCAAAGCAAAACAAAGAAGTATCTACTTCTCAAATTCAGACAGGTGGGTGGGCGGAAAGGAAGCAGACATTTTAGGATGCTGAGACTAAGACCTAGAACTGATGTTTATGCAAAGATTCTGGGCTCTGGACCCCTCCCCTGAGTACACCAGCAGCTGGGGCCTATTTTGGACTTCCCCTCTTCAGCCTTTTGCAGGAGACGGGTTCCGCAAATGCGACTGAACAGGATTCCATATTTGCGTTCTTCCAATTTTCAGTAATGTCTCCTCTACTTTCCAGTTCCATCGACTATCCAGTTAGAAAGTCCTATCAACTATCCATTCATTCACCCATCGAAACATTTATTAAGAACCTACTACATTTGGGAGGCAGAGGTGGGAGGATCGCTTGAGCCCGTAAGTGTGAGACCAGCCTGGGCAACATAGCGAGACCCCGACTCTAACTTAAAACATAAATACATAAAAATCGTATAAAAAGAAACCTACCAATGGGCCAGGCCAGTCGCTTTTCTAGGTGCTGGGTAAGAGAAATGAGCTAAAGAGGTAGGAGTCCTTGCTCTCATGAGAGTTACACGTCAATGGAAGACACAAAAGACTGCTCACCTAAAAACAAATGTCAGGCTATTCCCGCCTCGATTCTGTCACCATCGCCAAATGGGCTGCAGACTTTTCCTCCTCAACCCAACCTGGTTCCCTGGTGTATTTCAAAGGGTAAATCCAAGCTAATATGTCCAGATGAAAAAAACGCCTAGGCCGGGCGAGGTGGCTCACGCCTGTAATCCCAACACTTTGGGAAGCCGAGGCAGGAGGATCACTGGAGGTCAGGAGTTCAAGACTAGCCTAGCCAACATGGCGAAACCCCGTCTCGACCAAAAATACAAAAATTTGCCAGGCGTGGTGGCGGGCACCTGTAATCCCACCTACTAAGGAGGCTGAGACAGAAGAATCGCTTGAACCCGGAAAGTGGAGGCTGCAGTAAGCCTAGATCGCGCCACTGCACTCCAGCCTGGGAGACAGAGCTCCACCTTACAAAAAAACAAAAACAAAACCCCTAAAATGCCGCCTAGGCTACTCAGGATCCTGTTTAAATTTCTTATCACGCACACGAAGCCCTCCAGGCTCGCCCCTGCTCACCTTTCCAGCTTCATCTCCAGACACCCACGCACCCTGCACACGCAGATGTCTCCACGACAGCGACTCAGCTAGTGCTCGGAGCTC